CCTTTTAAGTAAATCAAAACAAAAAGCACAAAACCCTTTTTCAACATTCATAACTCCAATGGACAGTTTTGATTCCGGTAATGGACCACATAGTTTCACGATCAGTCGCTGGTCAATGCCATTCGTTGTTTCTGTGCTTCCGATGGAAGCTTAACATCGGTTGCTAAACCGATGGCTTGGAGAAATCTAACGACGTACCAAGTCATATCAAGTTGCCACCATTCTAAGCCGTGTCGAGCTGAGAACTCAAAAGCATGGTGATTGTTGTGCCATCCTTCCCCGAATGCTAGAGCTGCTACCCACCTGAAAGATCATAATTCAGAGTACAATTATACACAAAGATATTTCTCAATAAATCAGTTATTAATGATTCGGTGGATGATGAGTTTTACCAGTTGTTCTTAGACAAATCGCCGGTGTTCCATGCTTGTTTTCCCCATACATGACAAGCTGAGTTCACTAGCCAAGTTATATGATATACCCATACTATTCTTACACCCTGCAAGATCAAACAAAACAAAGAAACATTAGAGACGTAATGGTCGAAATAATTAAAGTTTCTTCTGCCTTTTTATTACTTTCGTGCCGTTTACAAATTTGCTAAAACTGTTAATGTAGTTTCACTTCTTAGCATGCAAATCTGGTTTACTTCTACAAACAACCAAATGGAATTTAACTCCCATTCACGAGAAGAGCATGAGCCAGAGATTTTTTGTACAAGAAAGATAAGATATTTACTTATGGTTCTGCTTTTGTCCAACTAACACAACTTGTGTGCCTAAGGTCAATAATCAAAGTTACACTAAGTGACAAGAACAAGCAAAGTTGTCTAAGGGAAATCAGGTGGAGGAGAGTTGCCCAGCAAATTGATAGCTACACAAAAACTATTGGTTTCATTTGGTTTCGCCGACGTAAAACACATCATAGCTCTACATCTACTTCTGGAAATTAACAGTGATAGATTCAAAATACACGATTAGCCATGGAACATACCATTCCCCAAACGATGAAGGGAAAACCGCCCATTGCGTATAGAGCTACCGCTAAAGCCACCGGATGCAAAATGTAGGTGGTTCGAAGAAATTGATAGAATGGCTGCTTCTCCAAATCCCCAACATTATTAGGCTCTCCAACCTCGAAACATCAATAACAAAAACAGATTTTTTAAAACCACATGAAAACCAAAAAGATAACAATTTTTTCATACAAATCTTAATATGAGAGAGAAGAACCAAAAAGGCTTACCCTTTGGGTGATTGTATTGGTATCAAACATCCAATTCATATGACTGAACCAAAACCCCTCAAGTGGGCTATGAGGGTCTCTGTCTGAATCACAAAACTGATGATGGTACCTATGTGTACTCACCCAATCAATTGGATTCCCCTGAAGAATCAACACACAACACAACATCAATTCCACAATTCAACATGCCAAAATGTATACAGAAACAAACTACATTGTCATCAAAATCACCTGAAGAGCTTGAGCTCCACAATACGCGAACAAGTACTCAAGCCATTTGGGAAGCTTGAAGCTTTTGTGAGAGAGATTCCTATGGAAAGACAGAGTAATACCCAAAAGACCAGTGACGATATAAAGCACAAAAGCAACCGAAACAGCTCTCCAATTGAATTGAAACGGAGCCAATAAGCTAAGCAAATGCATAGACAAAACCACAGCAACAGCTCCAAAATCCATCGGTTTCCATTCTCTTTCCCACCAAAACACTTTCTCCTTCTTCTTCACCAACACATCGGAGAGCATTATCCTTCTGTAATCTCCGGCCTCCTCCGTCGCCGCCGCAGATGCCGTGACATCTCTCTTAAGACCCTTTTCAGAGAATGCAGCTACGAGACTCGGTGGCCTGAAAGGTGCAAGCTTTTGGGTTTGGTTGAACGAAATTCTGGTGAAATTCAATGACGGTGATGTGTTTAGAGTTCGTGGAGAAGAAGAAGAGAGGAAAAAAACGAGCTTGGGCTTTGTAGTCAAAAGAGAAACCATTGTCGATGTGATAGAGGAAGATGAGAAAGGCTTAAACCCTACATTAGCATACC